TTTGTTTTCTACATAGACAATCATGTATCTGAACAAAAGCAGTTTTATTTACTCCTTCATTATCTCTATAACTTTTGCTTTGTTTTCTTGTCTTATTGCATTAGCTAGGACTGGCATATGATGTTGAAAAGGAGTAGTGATAGAAGATGACATTGTCTTGTTCCTGATATTAGCAGGAAAGCAACCAGCTTCATAGCATTAAGTACAATGTTAGTTGTAGGTTTTTTATAAATTTTCTTTATCAAATTAAGAAAGTTTCCTTCTATTCCTTATTTCCGAAAGTTTTAATCATGAATAGATACTGAGTTTTTTCGAGTATTTTTCTGCATCTAATGATATGATCATTAATATTTCTTTTGTATCCTGTTGATTATATTAATTGATTTTGAAATGTTGAACCAGCCTTACCTGGAATAAATCCCTCTGAGACATGATGTACAATTATTTTTACATTATTTGATTAGATTTGTTAAGATTTTGCTGATAATTTTTACATCTGTGTTCATCAGAGATACTAGTTTATAGATTTCCTTCCCTGTAATAGCTTTGGTTTTGGTTTTAGGGTAATATAGGCTTCATAGAATAAGTAAAAAACTGTCAACTATGCTTCTATACTCTGAAAGAGAGTGCATAAAATTGGTGTCATTCCTTTCTTAAATGTTTGATAGAATTCACCAATGAACCCACCTAGGTCTGGTGCTTTCTTTTTAGGAAGATTATTAATTATTTGATTCAATTTATTTACTATCTATAGACCTATTTAGGTTATTTATTCCTCTAGTGAGTTTTCATAGATCATGTCTAAGAATTGGCCCAGTTCATGTAAGTTACCAACTTTGTAGACATAGAGTTGTTTATCATGTCATTATAATATTATAACCCTTTTAATGTCCAAATTATCAGTAGTGATGACCATTCTTTCATTTCTGATATTAATATTTTTTGTTCTTTCATTTTTCTATAGATGGCTTGGCTAGAATTTTGTGAATTTTATTGATTTTTTTTAAAAAATAGCTTTTAGTTTTGTTGATTTTTCTCTGCTGAGTTCCTGTTTTCAATTTTATTGATTATTGCTATAAATTATTATTATCATCATTATTTGCTTGCTTTAGGCTTATATTGCTCTTTCCCCCATTTTCCTAAGCTTAGATGATTGATTTTAGGTCTTCTGTAATATATCAGTTTTATAAATTTCCCTCTAAGCACTGCTTTCACTGTATTCCAGAAGTTTTGATAAATTATATTTTCATTTTTGCTTAATTGGAAATATTTAAAATTTTTTCGTTTAAGACCTCCGCTTTGACCTATGTGTTATTAAGAGCAGTGTTGGGTAATATCTGAGTATTTTGGAATTTTCCTGCTATTCTTCTATTGATTTCCAGTTTAACTCCATTGTGGTCTGAGAGCATATTTTGTATGATTTTTGCTAAGGTGTATTCTGTAGTCCAGAATGTGGTCTGTCTTAGTGAATGTTCCATGTGATCTTGAGAAGAATGTTTATTCTACTGTGGTTCGGTGAAGCATGCTGTAAATTTTGATTGGATCAATTTGATGGTGTTTTCCAGATCAACTCTATTCTTACACAGTTTCTAACTGCTAGATCCATCAATTACTGATAGAGGGGTGTGGAAGTCTTCAGTTATAATGGGTTCATCTATTTCCCCTTGAAGTTCTATCAGTTTTGCCTCTTAACAGTCTATTAAGTGCATACATTTGAAGAACTATTATGTTTTGGAGAATTGACTCCTTTATAATTTTATAATGCTTTCTTTTATCCCTGTTTATTTTCCTTGCGCTGAAGTCTGCTTTGTCTGAAATTAATATAGCTACTCATGAGTAGTGCTAGCATGGTGTATCTTTCTGTATTCTCTTACTTTTAATCTATTTTTGTTTTTGTATTTAAAATAAGTTTCTTCTAGACATTTGCTTCAGTTTTTAAAAAATCCTTTCTGCCAATCTCTTTATAAAGCTTTTATTGATATAGTTGCATTAATACCTACCATGTTTGCTGTTTTCTATTCATTGC